CTCCCTTAGAAAATATCATTAGCCGCTTTTGATTTCTTTTATGATCAAAAGCTTCCTTCAACCCCTAACTGGGTTCGATAACCATGTCACATGTGAAATATCGAATAAAGATTAAATTAATCTGCAGATTAACAAAACATCGAGATCAAGTATTCATGTCTATATCTACAAGACCGAGTTCCCAGCTCAGGACTATACTCACCTCTCTTCATTCTTGAACAGAAAGCACAAATTGACGAAGCTTCAACCTCCAGAGCTTGTGTCATTATATCTTGTTCCTCAAACAGATATTCAATACCTTAAATATTTAAGATATTATAAGAGAAGAGATCTGAAAGAAGCCCCAGCTTGGGCAACCCAGACCGCCGCAGGTAGCATCCTATCCCTACAGATAGGATTAATCCTGATATCCTGATATCCTGATATCAATATCTTATATATATAGAGAGAATATAAATATATATTTAAACCGCCGCAGGTAGCGTCCTATCCCTACAGATAGGATCAATCCTCATATCCTGATATCAATACCTTATATATAATGAATATAAATATATTTAAACCCCCGCAGGTAGCGTCCTATCCCTACAGATAGGATCAATCCTGATATCCTGATATCAATACCTTATATATAGAGAATATAAATATATTTAAACACCCGCAGGTAGCGTCCTATCCCTACAGATAGGATCAATCCTGATATCCTGATATCAATACCTTATATATAGAGAATATAAATATATTTAAACCGCCGCAGGTAGCGTCCTATCCCTACAAATAGGATCAATCCTGATATCCTGATATCCTGATATCAATATCTTATAAATAGAGAATATAAATATATTTAAGCCACCGCAGGTAGCGTCCTATCCCTACAGATAGGATCAATCCTGATATCCTGATATCCTGATATCAATACCTTTTATATAGAGAATATAAATATATTTAAACCGCCGCAGGTAGCGTCCTATCCCTACAGATAGGATCAATCCGGATATCCTGATATCAATACCTTATATATATATAGGATATATATATATTTAAACATCTAAAATGGATATTCAAACTGAATAAGTTAAAAATACTAAATATATATGTATAATTCAATCATGAAATTCTTAATACATGGTATAGGAGGTCTAGCATCCTACCTAGCTGCTCCATATATGGTATTAGAGGTCTAGGATCGTATCCGCTGCTCATTGGATCAACAGTTACAGCTCCAATACTGAAGTTAATACCATTCTTCCCGGCGTAGAAAATATACTGCCTAAACATAAAAAAAAATCATTTTAATTCAGTAATTGTTTCAGTGCATGGCTCATTAACAAAATGCCATAATTTCATAGAGTTTCCACAAAGGATGAGACTTTAATATGACCTGAAAATCTTCAATAAGAAAATAAAAAAAATATTCCTGAGAGAAGTAGAACTTGAGTATCTTCTAGATACTACAGCCAGACCTCAGAGTATGTAACAGAACTAGAGAAACCTCTAGATACTACAGCCAGACCTCAGAGTATGTAACAGAACTAGAGAAACCTCTAGATACTACAACATATTCTTTGATTATGTAGTAGAACTGGAGTATCTTACAGTCATTACGATCACACCTAAGAGTATGAAGTAATCTTGATTTCTCAGCCAAACCTGAGAGTGTGAAGAAGAGATAAAGAATCCTTGCCCCCTGATACTCCGACCAGGACCTTGTCTCCGTCCTTGATCATATCAAACTCTGTCACAGCTTCCAGAAAAGGTTTGAAAATATCCTAAAACAAAATAGCGTCATAAATACGGTATTTAAGTCGGCCAGTGGCTCAAACCCTTCTTCCACGATTGCTACTAAAATTACAATCTAGCAATGAACATTGATCATTGCTGGGAGGAAGGAAGATATTCATTGTTCATTGAACCATTGACATCTTGCATGCTCCCGGCATTCCAACCGATGGTATTAAATTACAGTTCGTTGTCGGAGGTCATTATGTTAAATGACATAACATGCAAAACTGCTGCAGAGTGATTTAATAATTAAGTAGGTTCGATGAAATATGTGATTGCAGTTGTAATAAACTTCTTTGGTGTGTGAACCTCACCCCGTTAAAAATATTTCACTAATAGCCATGTCCATATATGCTACTATAGGTTCATTGGCTACAACAACAACACCATTTGGACGAATTAAACAATATTTAATTCCGCTTTAAAACCAACCTTAGAAGGAGGCTTCCAGCATGCAGTCTTTGGTTTAAGTTTTGGAATCTCTGTGTCTCTTTTCCCCCCTGAAATAATATTTTCAAATTAGCGATATTATCTATTTAACAGAAAAGTATCATATTCTTCTTTTTAGTTTCACATTCTATTTGTTTCACCAACGGCTCATTTAGTTCGTAAACAGCAGAAAGTAAGGATTCTTTTCTTACTTTGAAATTGAATTTCAAAATTTCCCATTTCCTAGGAGAACATTGGCCGGCCGGCGGCCATCCTACCTGGCAGAATACATGTACCATCATTGCAGGTTGTCACAGATATTCCGGAGTTCTCTAACTCCTTCTTCAGAGCATCCTCACCAACCTCTATTCTCTCCTCCTGGGTGATTTCTGCCGAGATTGTGTCATTTGGTAACAAGCAGCTGTTCAAGTCAGAATATTCTACGTGGTTTGTGCCGCCATTTTGTTTAGATTTAACAGGTTTCCGGGCTTCAAGCGTCCAGGGTTTAAATTTGTTTGAACTAACAATAGCTTTTTAAAGGAATTTAAAAGAAATCTTTAAAAATGACAATTGCATATGCTCTTTTTAACCTTTTAAATGTCATATATCGAACATTTATGATTCTTTTCAAATCAACGATTCAGCAAAAAATATCTCACAATATATTATTGTCTTTCAGTTTTTTTACTAGAGACATTTTTTAGTAAAAGATACGTTATAACAAATTTTCTAAGATGGCACATTGAATAAAAATCTTCACAAATTTTTCGAAATTGGTTACAAAATTGAAAATGAACGTAATTTTAAGCTACCCTTCATTTCATGAGTCGTAGGGTCCGATTCACAACAGTTTCATCAAACACTGTCAGATCAAGAGTAAATAAGATAGCAATCAGAAAATCAATGTTTTTCAATTGTTTTCTATATTAAATTGACTTGCGGATCTAAAATGAATAAAATTGTCTGATTTAAGCTCAGCTAGAATAAAATATTTTAAAAACTTAATTGTTTCACTAATTTTGTTGCTTAAAGCTTAAGTTCCTGTTAGATAAAATTCTCTCCAGATCTTTACTCTGAAGAACCAGAGTTCCTTGATGGGAACCAAACCCCGTGGTTCCATCAGCCTGCAGGAACCTGATAGGAGTGAAAGGGCAGGAGGTGGGAACCAGTTCCAAGGGTGTTAAAAGGGCACACTTGGCTTCAAATGGGGTTACAAACCATCTAAAAAGAAATACTGAAAATCCTCAAGTTAGTTTAAAACGGAATTATTTTAAAGCCTTTTGGTCAAGCCATTTGTTTTGCATTTGTAAAAATATCTTCTAGAATATACAACGAAATAGCTTTTAGATGGGAAAACATACAGGGTGTCCCGCGAAACATGACAATTAAGAAAGTACTTGAAGGTCGTCTTTTATCTTTATAATAATATGTTATAATCATTTGTAAATTTTTTTTACCAATTATCACAAAATTGCCCCTCGTTTTGGCAATTCCAAAATTTGTTATGTTCTTTTGGTGCTTTCAAAATTACCAAGAGATATAAAGAATGTCGTTTAGATTTTGACAAAGATTTAAGATCAAAGAATATATACAAGTCGTTCTTAACTGTCATATTTCGTGGGACATCTTGTATTCTGAAGTAGAGGTCATCTTGTTCTACAAGACAAAAGGTTTACTGTGCATTGTTAACTGTAAAATGTGCACTGTACACTATACACTGTGCGTAGTACAATGAAAAGTGTACACTGTACACTGTACACTGTATGTATAGTTTACATTACATTGCAATCTCACTAAACCAACTGACCTGAGGGAATTAACTTCTGCAGGAAAAACTTTAGTTTGATCTGGAACTACTTCTCGTGATGCTAGATGGGGACTAGAGTCTAGAATCTCCTGAACAAAATTCTGCTATGATTCAAAAACTTCTATTAAGCAAAGTAAATTGATTTATACCAAAAGATTAATTGATTCAAAAACTTTCCAATTTGATTTTAAGAAATGCAAAAAAAAGCAAAAATGCCGTTCTATTTGGGAATTAGTTAATGATTTTGTTTGAATTACTTAAACACAGACCTTAGCTTTGTGAATACAATCCATTAGTGAAGTTGGAGGATCACTTTTCTGAGGAAGGTTTACTCCGATCTGTTCCATCCTACCGTTCTTAAAGGTGATGTGTCCCAACCATCTTCGATCTTTAAACTTGGTATTTCCAGAATGATACCAATCACCTTTAACAGACAAGTTAAACAAATCAATAAGATATTATCAGAATACTAGCTGAAGGGTCCGGCGTTGCCCGTGGAATAAAAAAATTATTTTTGAAAAATACAAAACGTATTATTCTCCGGAAAATTTAAACAGTGTTTTATCATAACTTAAAATTGTAGAAGAACGCTGATTTATTGCATGTGAACTATAAATTACGTATTGTTACTGCAAAATTCTGTTTTATAAAAATCTAAAAAAAAGTGCGCGCGTGTGCGCGCTTTTTGGTGGCAAATGTAACCTTTTTCGCATTTTTGCAATCTTAAAATGAACTTGAATGGAGAGTAATACGTTTTGTGCCTCCCCCCTTTTATATTTTTTTTTCTCCCTGGGCACCCATGGGTTCCCTCAAAAAGTTTCAGCCCATTCTGTCCAGCCATTTGGCCGGCTATAGGGAACATATATACGAATGTCTTGTTTTATTATATAGATATAGAAGATCTCCTTGTGAATTATCCAGAAGTGGGCAGACTTGGAAGCGTTCGTTTTTTATATTCATTTTGTTTGTTTCTTTATAATAATTCAAAAAAAAAGTATTTCTTCGTTCTCAAAAATATCGCTAATTTTCCATCTATTTCGTTCGTTTTCTCTGTGAACAATCGTTCAGCAAAATCGTTCATTCAGTAAAATCGCTCGTTCAGTAAAATTGTTTGTTCAATAATATTGTTCGTTCAGTAAAAACAACAATAGTTTTTTTTTCTTCAAAAGTTTGTAAAAAAACTAAAGTTTTTGAAAACAATTGTTCGTTCAGAAAATAACGATCATTCTTGTTGAAATCTTTTTGAATGATTTTAAATCTACCATTTTTTTTCATTTTTCTGAACGATCTAAGTCATTTGTCCCTTTTTTTGAACAAACCATCATTACGAAAAAATTCGTTCGTTGTCAAAAATGTTGTTCGTTCACAAAAATGATATCCATCTCTATTCGTGGAACACCCTATACCTGTTTCATTGTTAAATCTATACAAGGGTAGAAGTTTCCAGCCCTCCTCTGCAACTAACTTGACAGCGTCAATAACAAACTGATTCTCCAGTTGACTAGAGAACCAGGAGAGGTTGAGACGAGTAGCTCCAGGTCGAAGAATCTCCCACTGGGAATGCTCCATGTGACCTCGACGAAGCCCAACGCGATCCAATCTAATATAGATAGATAGATATATATTTGACTAAATATTTAATTAAAAACAATTTAAGTTTCACAATTTTTACATTTTAATTTAGCCAGGGCCTCTCTAACCATTGTTGGTTGTTTTGAATGAGAGGCCCTTCTGCAGCGATACATCCATGTTCAATTTAAATAAAACCAATTAAAACAAAAACAATTTAGAACAAAAGGAAAAGGAGAAAAATGAAAAGTAGTAGATGGAGGAAAGGTATTGAAGATTTTTACTTTTGTTTTGTTATAATAACAGGGGAAAGGGGATAGAATCAAGATTTAGCAAGAAAAGCAATTTCGATTTATACAACGAAAATTATTTTATTCTTCTAGAAAACTCTTTTTAAGACTTGTTTTAAAAATTGCTAGGGTGCTTAATAATTTTATTTCCAATGTAATAGAGTTCCAGGTCCTTGGAAGAAAAACCGTAGGAAAACTTTCTAGATATTTATTGTTAACTAATTATGATTTGTAACTTTTTATAAACAGTAGATTTACAATACAGTACCCTGTTTGTCCCCAAACCCCTGGAAAATTATGACCTTCAGTGGGGTTTCGACCCCCAAAGAAGCTGAGTAGAAGCTGAGTACCACCCCCCGTGCAATGCTAAAAAAGTTTCAGCAACCCCCCGCCCCCCCCGAAAATTTCTGTATACGCCCCTCATGACAAGTTTAACAGATAAATTCCATATTTCTGTGTTTCAAACCCAGCAAAATGAAGATGATTCAAAACTATCCAGAAATGAAATTTTTTTCATTAAAATATCCTAATAATGTTTGACCTTGAGTCTTCTAGAAGAATATTTTCATATTGCCGCGTCTGCTTCTTGTCTAGACCCAGTAGACTCTGCATGTAAGGTCCGGCACATGCGCACCCGCCACGTGCTTGAATCCCAAACAGATCATTCAGTAGCGCAACCACAAAGTTGTAATGAAGAAAGAGACCTGACTCTGGATGCTTGATAAGGAAGGAGAAGATCGGAACCTGGTTAGTGGGGTTAGGACCAAGGATGGCCAGATTAGGAATTGAACTCCATGTCTGTAGAGCCCTTCTCCGGAGCTGATGCTCCTGCTCCATGATAAAACTAGATCCTACCGACTCCTTTAGCTTCATGACAAGTCCTGCTCTGATACTCTCAACAATATACGGGGTTCCTCCCTCCTCTCTTACTTCTATATCCTAACATCAGGGGACAAAGTTTTTAGAAATTTCATAATAAAGAACTTCTAGTAATTTATTAAGAAAAAAGAGACTGAAATCGTAGTTTGAAGTTAAACTCCATGCAAAGTCGATGATGCCCGATTTACAACGGTACCCTTTAAACCTTTATCTGCCCAATGATGTGGAAGATATTGTCGTTTTTCTAGGTTAAAAAGAATAAAGTGCTGAAAATTCAGCCTACATCTTTTCCTGAAGTAGAAATGCGCACGTCACTTTTGAAGAAAAATCACAATAGAAAATAATCAGTTTTCCAAATTATAAACATTGATATAAAATTTATACTAGATCCAACAACGCTTCTAAGGGTCTCGTTTTGAATCGGACACTGCACCTACTTGGTGTTGGGTGAAGGGGGTAGATTTTTTATCTATAAATGCACCTTTTTTGAGCTCAAGAATGAAATCATTGAATTTTTAATCTTTCTTGGAAAAAATTATCTCACTTTAACCATTTGTTCTTGTTTAAGAAATTCACCCTTTTTAAACTGTATGAGGGGAACCCCCCATTGCACCTTTGCGTGTAATACCAGTAGACAACAAAAATTACTTAAGGCTATTCAGTAGTATATTTATTAACTGTTCCCGTTCCTGTAAATAGCGAGCATGTTCCTCAGATACAAAAAAGACTGTTCCTCCTCCTGGTATACTAGGAACAGGGTTCCTGAACACATGCTTCTTCGCTACAAGAACGCCAGGGGTTTGAACTCCTCCAATAAATTTATGCATGGAGAAGTAAATTGCATCCTTGTAACACAGACCGTTCACGTCCTATGAGTTCACGAGATGTATATGCTTCATTCCACAATTGTTGAACATTTTCGAGCAAAAAGTTTAAACAATAATTCTTCAGAAATAATGAATTTTTTTTTAACTGTGACTTTAAGATGTTTTCATATCAAAATTCTTACTTTTATTTAAAATTTCCATACATCAGAAACCATTATTAATAAACATTAAAAACGATAAAAAACTAAGTTTGATATTATTTGTTAAAATGTTAATTTAATGTTCATTTGTCTGAAGAAAACTAGGGTGGAGACATTTTCAAAAAAATCTTTGTAGAATTGTTTTATACAACATTCAAGTGTTCAGATGAAACCGAACTTTTAATACAATTTTCATTCTTCCATAAGAATCATCATTTATGATAAAAAGACAGAAATATTGAGAGCATAAAGACAACCTGCCTCTGGTACTTGAGGATTCATGTCAATATGAACAAATTGTTTTATACAACATTCAAGTGTTCAGATAAAACCGAACTATTATACAATTTTCATTCCTCAATAAGAATCATCCTTCATGGTGAAAAGAGACAAAAATATTGAGAGCATAAAGACGACCTGCCTCTGGTACTTGAGGATTCATGTCAATATGAACATAGGGAGCAGCAGAAGCATAATCCCAAAATGCCAAGGCTCCATATTTGTGAAGAAGAGCAGTAATAGACAAATCATCTTCAAGAACCCCTGAGGAACGAATAAAAAATATGTTAAAAAAGGTGTAGAAAGGACAAGTTTCAACTTAAAAATCCCTAATAAAAATGGTAAATCAAAGCGAATTTTATTTTACTGCATTTGACCGATTTTTCCCGAAACAGCGGGATATTAATTTACTTAAAATTGGGAAAATTTAGTAAAATAACATCCTGCTCTTTTCTTAAAAATATATGCGCATATTCATCTCAAGGAAAGATAAATTTCTACTTGACCAAGTGTTCCCTATACCAATATTGTCTTCATAACATCCCTTGGTAAGGTAAAATTCTCTTCCAGTAAATAGTCTTTACAAAATGTACATGACTAAATCATGCTAAAATTTCCTACCTGAAACATTCGAGCAGATACTGAAACATCCTATCAGATTAAACTCATTGTGCATCTTCAGTTTCTCTTCCAGATCCAGCAAATCCACACACCCATACTCATTACTGTCTTTAAAGGGATACATTGCAATAAAGGGGATAAAGTGCTGATCTGAGAAGTTGATTGAAAATGATCAGATTCAAATTTTCAACCTTCTTATTATTATTATTATTAAACTGAAACACCAAAATTCCATTTAATATTAATTAAGTATCGTTTCTCATCATTTAAGCAATCCATACGGATTTTTAATTTTTAGAAATTAGACTGCTAATTTGTATCCAATAAATGTCAAAACTAATAAGCATAAAAATATTTGCTATATTTCAATTAGATAATTTGTCCACAGATAATGATACCAGCAATTGTTTTTTCCCTCAATGATCAAATTCTAGTTTGATACAAAATTTAAAGTTTGATTTGTATTATTCACCTTTTTTGAAGGCGAACGCTATTTGAGATAATAATAATAAATACTCAATACTAATGAATGATAATAATACTAATGAATGATAATAATTCAAACGAATGATAATAATACTAATGAATGATAATAACACTAATAAACGATAATAATACTAATGAATGATAATAACACTAATGAATGATAATAACACTAATGAATGATAATAATACTAATGAATGATAATAATACTAATGAATGATAATAATACTAATGAATGATAATAATACTAATGAATGATAATAATACAAAGATAATATATATATAGATATGCAGGCAGGTATAAATTTTGAGGTCTTGAGAAAAGGTGCAAACAGCACCATCTCTGTCGTACGCATGGCATTTTATCCTCTGGATTGTTGCTAATTTATCACTTTGTTTATGCGTGATAACACTAAATGCGTACAATAGTATCAACAATATATACTGCATATTGTACTTAATGAAACAAATTAATCAATGTAAATAAAACTGAGGTAGGAATTTGACTAGACAAAGTTTAAATGTGCAAGTTGTACTGAATGGCATACGTAAATTAACGCAATTTAAATAAAAATTATGACTAAAAAGTACATAGAATCTAGGACAAAGTCCTTCTTGAAATTTAATTTTATTGGTCAAACAGGTCCAGATAGCAACACTTGAACTATACAGGATGCAATACGTGTACTATATGTTTATATAACACAAATGCGTATTTCCTACAGATGGCAGCAAGGGGAGAAAGGAATATAGAAAGTAATCAATTTGCTATAGATGTCTCTCCTTGCACCTTCTCTCAGAGGTTCAAAAATTAGTTGTCTGCTATAACAAGCAATTTAGGAAGGAGGTTTCTACCTGCCTGCATATCTATATATATATTATCTTTGTAATAATACTAATGAATGATAATAATACTAATGAATGATAATAGCTCACGTATAATAACAGTTTCTGCTCCAGCTTCTTTCCACGGCAAAATATTAGAATGATGTTCATGAGGTCCAACAAACACAACAGTTTCCTGAACAAAATTTATCCCAGTTTCGACTTTTTCTTGACTTTAAAAGTCGAATTTTTGCCGACTTGAAAAATCTCGTCCATTAGTGGTATATCTAGTCAAAAGTAGTATAAAATCTCAGCTTAAAGTCTCGTTCTAGGAAGACTATTTACGAGTTAAAATCGACTTAAAAGTCGAGTTAAAGTCGACTTCTGGAGTGAAAAGTCGAGTTAAAGTCGAGTTTAAGTAGAATTTTGTTCATTGGGAATATAATAATAAAGATAAATAAAGGTTTGTTTTTCATATGAACAAAAAACATATTTTTTTTTAATAAATGGTAAGTAAATACCCGAAAGTCCCGAATGGCATTAACTAGTTTATGAACAGCTCCGGTGCAACCAGAGCCTTCAAATATCACAGCATCTGTTTCTCCGGCGTGCACAGCGTTCCTTAAGAGAATATACACGTGATCTTAAGAGACACTGCAATTAAAAGGATTGTTCATGTAATTATATTAAAATTACCATTCTTAATAATATCCCTCCTCCCCTTATTTAGGCGCTACGACATCTGCTCTATTTCCATTTGCTCTATGGTCATTTGCTCTATTTTCATTTGCTCTATCAAGTCATTTGCTCTATACGTCATTTGCTCTATATGTCATTTGCTCTATATTCAATCTGCTCTATGACTAAACACGTCATTTGCTCTATAACATGAAAATACACTATAAAATAGCTTTTATTGGAATTCCTGAGCGTAACTTGACTATGAAATGCGGGATTTTTTTTGGAAAATTCGCAAATTGCAGTTTTCATCATCTTCAAAGTCCATCATGACAGCGAGACTGCTCAATAATAATAATAATAACAATAATAACACCTAATATTTAACTTGGTCTCACAATATGCACAAATAGCAGACAAACAAGTTGGCGGAATAATGAAGCTGTAGGAAGAATTGTAAAATTTAAAATTGTAAAAATATTGTTTTAATATGATTAGATATTTATATACATATGTTTTTAGAGCAAAGGACGTGTTTACTCATAGAGCAAATGTTGATTAGAGCAATTGGACCATCACAGTCATAAAAATGTTTATAGAGCAAATGATGTGTTATGTCATAGATCAATTGACGTATAGAGCAGATGACATATAGAGCAAACGTCGTGATCTATGAGCTATAGAGCAAATGGTTAATAGAGCAAATGGAACTAGAGCAAATGACCATAGAGCAAATGGAAATAGAGCAGATGTCGTAGAGCCCTTATTTATTAATATCATAATATCCCTCACCCCCTACCTAATAATATCCCTCACCCCCTACCTAATAATATCACACACACCCTACATAATAATATCCCTCACCCCCTACCTAATAATATCCCTCACCCC